GTATTAATAAATAAATAAGCTATATATGTACACCAAATACTTAAAAATAGAATAGATACCCTCTCAATTCACCGAAAGTGGGGGCTTTAGTAAGAAATAAGACAAAAAATAGACCCTCTAGGTTAGTAGTATATAATATAATGTTTAATAATAATAATGATAAAGACACAAGGTTTTTTTAAAAATAATATAATAATAATAAATAAAAAAACGAAAATAATAAAAAATATATATAAAGTTATAAATATATTACGTAAATAAAAAAAATAATCAAATAAAAATAATTAAGAATATATATATTAATAATAGGTATATAAATAAACTATTAAAGTATAAAAAAAATATGACTAGATAAAGATAATTACAATATATATAGATAGTAATATTAGACTTATAAGTAAAATATTAAAGAAAATATATATATATATATATATAATAGTAAAATATAGTAAAAATAAATGAAAATAATTTAATATATATATATATATACATAATAATAATAACATGAATAATAAAAATAAATGAATAAAATATCCATATAATAAATAAAGGGACTAATATAGATTTTTAAAAAGCTCTTCCCCTCTTTTAACCGAAAATCAAACTAGTTTTTAAAAATAAGCCTCGGGGTAGATCTAGGTTCGAAACTTCGAAACCCCACCCGTTTTGGTCATCGGCGCAACCTACGTTTTGGGTTATTCGAACCAAATTTCAAGAAAAATAACGTGCACATGCAAAAGAAAGAAAAAAGAAAATGCTACCTTTTATTTCCTTTTCGAATCCTTTACAATAGTTTTGCCTTTGTATCTTTCCGTGCTTTCCTCTATGTTTTTGTGTGTAAATCGTGAGCTACAATGGTTATTTATAGTTCTTGTGGATCCTATCTTTAGGAGTTTAAAACATAGCAAAATTCTATCCTATTTTAGGAGTTGAATCATAGCAGAATTCTATCCTATTTTTGAGAGTTTGAATCCTAATAGGACGAAAAATGTGTGTTGACAGGAGGATGTTGAATGCGAGGTGGTGGTGGTGTGGCACGTGCGAGAAGGGTTTTGAGGGAAGATGGGTGATGACCGTAGGCGAGGAGAATTGCAGAGAGAAGAACATTGGTATTGCTAGGTTTTGGCGGAACAGGGAAAGCTATTTCAGCCAATTTTGTCGGCATGTGGAAGATTTTGGACTTGTATGATTTGTTTTTTTCGTCAATATATAAAAACATTTTATAGTTTTAGATCATGATGCCATAATCATAAATTTAGTACTAATGATTATTTTTTTTCACGTCAACTTTTAAATTTTTGTTAAAAAATATTTTTTTAATTATCTTCATGGTTAAGGAATTTATTGTTATCTCTCGAGATCTCAGGTTCAAGCATCGAATATGTCAAAATATAAGTGTTCATTGTCAAATAATTAAAAGTCTTTAAATAGATATCACCTTGGATACAACCCAAATTTATTAAAAAATATATAATTAAACATTTTTAAAGAGATTAAACTGAAATTTTATTATTTTTGGAGGTCAAATTGAAAATTTACCATTACCTTATCTTTAAATTCTCAAATTTAGAAAGGTTAATGTTGAAAATTTCCCATTAAGGCTACGGTGTCGTGCTCCGCACTTCAAAGAAGATAAGATGTCTCTCACAGTGAAGTGGACTATTTTAACACTAGGAAAGCAAAGGCTTGTCCTTGTGTATATAAACGATAACATTGTACATGACAATATTAATGGATTAATACCCAAAATAACATCATTTATCATAATGATATTCAAATAATATTATTTATTAAAATGATTTTTTTGATAAAGACGTGTATATAAAAAAACATATTTTAAAAAGTACGTTTTGTTGGACATTTCTTTATCAATGTGGTAGATTTTTTTGAATAATAACTCTCATATTGATGTCATCCATTATTAAAATAACAATAATAGGCCAAAAATGTGAAAAAATTATATGAATTTTATTTAAAAAAATATACACAGTAATATTCAAGATATGCTTAAGCACGAGTCAAACTGGAAAACAACAAAATATATATATATATATATATATATATAAATCTTGTATTTGTAAGGTGTTGAGGGTAGTTACATTACTGTAGGGGTTCTTAAGATTCTAGCGTTTCGGTCTTTGAGTTCTATTAAGTGATTTTGAAGGTATTGGTTATTATTATGGATTCTATGTGTTTTAGTTCGATTTGCAGTGGGGTGTCAGGTTCGGGGAGTATCATAGGATTCTATAGTGTGAAAACGCCTAAGCTTTTTGTCTGAGATGGTGTGAGTCTTGGTCTTTAAAGGTTTTTGTCGAGAAGGTAGATGGGAGTGTTTTAATTGGAAGTTCCATGGGTGTGAAATCTTGTTATTCGGGGTGTTATGGTGGTCTTTTCGTTTCGAAGGTCAGGGTTCTGTTTATTAGGATTTGTGCTTGTTGTTTTTGAGCTAGGTAGTCCTTTATTTGCTCTTTCAGTGGAGGCTCGTTCGGCGGATAGGGTTGACTGGTTGGTGTGCTGATGGTTGTTTTCTTTTCCCGAATCCAAGTTTTGGAGTATTTCGAAGAGTTCTGTGTTGGGTTCTTCTTGTTGTTTTAGCGGAGGTTGTGTCTAGTTGTACTGCTGTTCCTACTGATTTGTTCACTTCGACTGGTTTCTGTTTTTCGTGTTGTAGATTTTTGCATTTATTCTGGTTAGTTGGTTCTCTGTTGTCTTCTGTTCTTAGGCTGTGTGTTTCCTAGTAGCATGGTTAGAGCTACTACGTTGGTAGGTTTCGATTATTTTTGTGTGATGTTGTGTGAGTCCTGCCTCTATGCTCTTTCCACCTTGTATCATTATCAATACAAAGTACCCATCTTTCAACAAAAAAAAAATATAAATTTTGTACTCAATCATTCAATATGTTGTGTTCTAAAGACTATATTTAGACGGTTTAAAAAATCATATATAAACAAGACAATATTTGATAATATCACGATAAATTTATTGATTTTAAGTTGTCAAACATAATTTTTTAAATTTAATTAGACTCGTATGAGTACAAGAATTAAAGACAATTTTAGATATTGATATTCAAAAAAATATTTTAGATATCTATTTTTCACATATAAACTATTTTTATTAATTTGGGGTAAATACAAGGTATTATCTGTTCAAAGATAACTCTCAACCATTTAACATTAAATGCTCGTACCCCTAGCATTCCCGGTATTCGAATCCGAGACCTTAAGAAATAACAATAATTTCTTTTACAGCCGAGATCATTGGGATTCGTACCCATATATATATATATATATACCTAAAAATGATCTAATTTGAATATATATTTTTTAAATAAGCCTTAGTAACTCAAAATTATTCTTTTTGATTTACTTTACCGTATGATCTCTTTTTGAATAAAGCTTTCGATATGTTTTACTTTCAAATACTTTGGGTATCTCTCCTTGAAATAAGCCTTATTAACTCAAGAAAATAATGCTTTTGATTTCTAAAAATTAATGAGGTTAAACCGTTCATTCCCCGACTTTGTTAATTGGTGACGGCAACAATTTTAATATTGGTTGCCTATTATCGGTGTTCGTTTTATTCTTTTATTTTATATTATATCTTTATTTTTTTTAATAAGTCTATTTGTATGACAAGTTTTCATATGCATTTATGACACATTTTATTCCGTCTTTTGACGTGTTTTTCGATCGTTTAACTATTGTTTTCACTTATTTTTTTTAAGGGATAATTTGACATCATCATAACTAATTAAGATGTCGCTTATATGTTATATTGTTTATTTTTCCTGCTTTGAACCATCATATTTAATTTGGATACCTATTATGCGTTCGTGGATAGCTTTTTACGTTGCTCGAGTCTGATTTACGATTTGTCGGTGGTCTTTCAGTTGTTTGATCTTCTTTTGTGGTTCATTTACCGATACAATCAAATCTGTTTGTATCTATCTTTATTCGAGTTTTATTGGTTAGATTTTAATCGTTCTTTGTATGGTCCTTATGTGATCTTAACTTGCTAGTTTTGTTTCAATTATCATAGGAATTTATCCTAATTTTATACTTAATTTATGATTATAATTATAAATATTTATTGTAATTTAGGATATTTTTTATTTTAAATAAAATTAGTGATTTTTATAAAAAATAATAATAATGATGTTGATATAAAAAGGATATCTAACTACCAAAAGTTGGATAATCACAGGGTAGAAGAAAGACGAAACATATTATCCATACATAGAGGGAAATTAGAGAGCACCACGACACAAACAGGAGCATGTCCCTAATGGACACAATTTTATGTCAAAAAGACGAACTTACAATATTTTAAAACACAAAAATAAATTTTCCATATAAAGAAAATATTAAATTTATATGAGAATTTAAAAATTTTAAAAACGACCATCCCCACCAAACCCTTTCGATCCATTCGTGATCATCTTCATCTCGTAAGAATCACATAAAACCATGTGGTCTACAAATGCATTTGCTGCAGATCCATCACCCATCTTAATCACCTGCAGGGAAGTAGCTACAAATATTTACTTCTCCACACACGTTCGTACGTTTGTTGTGTTGATATGTATATATGTATGTATGTGTGTATATATACACGTGTGTATGTATATGTACTGTTTTAAATGTAAGCATAAGCTAAATTGCTAAACGAAAAACAACAAGGATTTCATTTATTGATAGCTGCATGCATTACAAGACGGAAACAAACAAACTCCATAAGATAAGCTCATTTGCAACTACTAATATATACGGACATAATTTAGAAAACACACAAAAGAGAGATCAGTACACACACACAGAACAATGTTGCTGTTGTGTAGTAATTGTAGCCTGTCTTCATCAAGCTTCAACGATGTACCCATCTTTAACCATAGTACCTACTACTATAACATAATATCCATCTCAACTTTGATGTCATGACAACTAATATGCAGCGTAGTAACTGCAAATTCGTCAGCTTTCAGGCAGGCCCCAGATATGAAAAAGAATAACAAATGATCGATACATTTTCACTGTCAAACTCCGACGATCGTGTCAATACCGCCGTTGCTTAGAGGCATTTTCGATACGAAAAAGCAAGCCCCGATAACGATGTAGAGCAGTAGAAGAACCAGTCCTTTCATGTAGTGAGAAGTGCCATCCTGCAAATTTGGTAATACAAAATGTTTAGATTCAAGATGTTTTATTCATGGTTGAAATGAAAGAGATGATAGTGTTGTTATTTTACTTGTAAAGTGAAGGCAACAGCGATGATGGATAGAGCGAGTGAGCCGGTTTCAAGGAGATTGAAATTGAGATCCATCTTGATTCCCATAATCCAAGCCACGACAATGCAGAGTGGGACCTGAGTCAACAACATTGAAAATTGTGGAGTTAAACTCAGAAGGCTCCAAAATTTCTTAGTAAACGACAATGAAGGGTTCAATTATTCTAGTTTTCGTACCACAAACATGGAAATCTGTGTTGCAGACCCTAATGCAACACCTAAAGAAATATCCTGCAATATTTGAAATTTATGTGTCAACATATTTGGTTTATTGATAAAACAGTTGCTGATGACACAGTGATATATTTAGTATTTACTCACCAGCTTGTTTTTGAAAGCAAAAATGATAGCTCCTGCATGTTCTGCTGCATTTCCAACAATGGGTAGCAGTATAATGCTGATGAAACTAACAGAAATTCCCCAAGAATCCGATGCGTCCTGGAATATTTAGTTGATTAATTTTCAATAAACAGGCTCTGTTAAATGATGATTAATTCATTATCAGCAACAAAGTTACCTCAATTGTTTCTACAACATATTCAGAGAGGAGAGAAATGACAGCAGTCATTCCAACAAGCCATATAAATCCACTCCAAAATCCGATCACCGGCTCTTCCTCTGATATTCCATCGCCGTCTTCCGATTCCTGATCGGTTGCATTATAAAGGGTTATTCACCAAAAATTCTAGAAATTATAGTTTTTCGAAGATGAGCTTATGACATTAATGAACTACCTCTTGGGCTTCAAACAATTGCCGGTGTGTGAATAGTTGGAAGACCAGGTACGAGATGTACGCAATCAACATCACAATGCTGCTAGCTCTCGACAACTGCAGCGTAGGATCGGCCGTGAGAGCGGCGGATGCGCCACTCATTCGGAACAACAACGGCAACGAATGACACAGTAATGCGAGCAAAAGGAGGAGAGAGTTCACATCGGCTTGTCTCTGTCGAAATTCAACAATGTTTTAACACCCAAATTAGTAAAATTTTCAACAAAATTGAAGATTTGTTAGGTAAGATGGTGCATGTTGAAGTTTGATACGTACTCTATCGTATTTTTGTTCCCTTCTGAGGTTGGCAATACCGCCACAGAAGAGAGAGGTCCCAAGGACCAGAAGCAGGTTCGATAGGACAGAACCCAGCAGGGAATACTTGACCACGTCTATTTTATTTTGGCTTAGTGCAAATATAGCTATGATCAGCTCGGTTGCATTGCCACAGGTTGCATTCAACAGCCCTCCCACTGCAAAATCAAATCAAGATTAGTAAGGTTGGCGATCATGGAAAAACATATATATGTATGTGCAGTGTGCTGATAATAATTTACCTGTCGCACCAGTGTAATAAGCAATTTGCCTGCAGAAAAAAAAATTATGGATAATCAAATTGAATTCTAGAGATCAAGGATCGAAGAAGAAGAAGAAGAAATCAATATGAATATGGCTTACTCGGTGAGGAAACTGACTCTTTCAGCCAATGGTGTAAGTCCAAGTAAACTCAATGCAAAAATCCAGGGCTGTTGATTATTTTAAGGAAAACTCATAAATGTCAGCCCTTGAATCAAGTGGGAATAATATTCAAATCATATTCGACTTAGTTTCCAAATAAGTCAAATTAGTATTCACTCACTGTTTCATCAAAAACCAGCTTCCATAAAAAGAAGAGTAAAAAGAAAGAAAGAAACTCACTCTTCCAAAGCCATAGCACTCAGCAGCAATGGCCAATGGAATAGCAGGGAAGAGAACCGAAAGTTTTGTCCCCAAAATGACCTCTTGAAGATTGGTGAGGAACTGCCTAAGCATGACAAACCGAACCTTGGAGACAAGGGTCAAATCCGATTTTTTCCTCAACGAGGAAGACGACATGTTATGTGCAGTTCTTCCATGGCGAATCTCCTTGCTACAACCCTTCAAGTTCCCGTTCTCCAATAGCCATGGTTCTTGAAGGGAAGCCATTTTTGTATGTTTGCCACACTATTTATCTCTCAGACAACAAAAAAACACTATGGAGGGAGGTGACAAAAAGCAATCAAAAGACTCAAATTCTATTTGGATGAGTTTCAAGTGTGAGTTGCAGACTGTTATAAATAGAGGACACTGGATGCAGCTTCCACGAAGCTTCTCAAAGTAATTTATTTGGGGTTCTTATTTAGGGCAAGACACATGGGCTAAGATGTTAATAATTTTATGGGGAATGTTTCAGTTCCATGATTGAAGTTTTATTAATATTATTCTTGATGTTGCATTATTGGCATAGTACACGATTTTGCATTTGTGTCAAAAATTCTATTTTATTAATTATGTTTAGACCTATCGTTATGTTATTTTAATATGTTTATTTACAATTTCGTTGAAATGAAGTTTCAGTTGATATTAAATTTTGAATTTGATCTTAAATTATCTTTTATTTATTTTTATAAAATGTACACTCATATGTGAGAATAATTATTGGAAGTGTAAAAAGAGTGACAAATCTTTATGAAGCCTATAGAGACCTCAAGATGATAATTCTGACTCATATTCTCAATGTTATATATGACGTAAATATATTTTTAATAATTTAATGTAATTATAAGATAATGTTTATTTTAAATATTTTCAACCCTTTGACAATAAAAGTTTAAATACATTTTTACAATCTCTGATGTTCAAACCTAGGACTTCTTGAGATAACAATCATCTCTTTAGCCACTAAAATAACTTGATTCGTACACACACATAAATTTTAATTGTTAATATTCAATTACTAGATTGTTATAAATAATCAAAGTAATAAATATTCATTAATAGTAAGAGATCCTGATGTAAAAGATTTTTTTTATATTTAAGGTTTTTTTTCATTAATAACATTTTTCATAAATGAAGGATAAGATTTGATTTTTTTGAATTAGAGTTGAAAATGATATAATCGGTTAATAATTTTTTTTTATTAATCTAGGGTAAATATAATGTAGTAGTTGTTCAAAGATAACCTTCAGTCTTTTAACATTAAATGTTCGTACCCCTAGTATTCCGAGTGCTCGAATCTGAGACCTCAAAAATTGCAATCAATAATTTTAATGTGAGAGAGTTTATAATTTTATTTGTGTAGAAGTTACATTTTATCGTGAAGATGATTTGTAACTTTATTCATATAAAACTTACAAAATTAATATAATATAGGTAAACTACATTAGTTACCATCGAGCTTTAGACGTTGTATCGTTTATATTCTTGTACTTTCAATTTTATCAATTATAACATTGAACTTTAATTTTCGTTTCAATTATACCACTGAGTCATTAAACTGTTAACAGTCAAATCAAAACGAAATCGTTTTGGTAAAATGTCTACATCGGCAACCTTCAGCCATCGTGTCGTTAATGATTTAACGTTTCAGTGGTATAATTGAAATGAAAATCAAAGTTCAATGCTATAATTGACAAATTTAAAAGTTTAGTGGTATAAACGATACAATACCTAAAGTTTGGTGGTATCTGATGTAATTTATCGTACTATAATTTATCATTTGAGGTTGTATAAATAAATCAAAGAAATTAAATTACACTAAATTAATTAAACGACTTAAGTGATTAAAATATATATTTTTCTTTTCAGAACAATTCCGTTTATAAAATATATGCGTTATCATATTCAAATAGACTTGCACTTCCCTTGATGCATTAATGAAAGCAAGTCCAAAATTTTCTTAGCCTCATAATAAAAACAATGGGAAAATAATGAGCAGTCATGGTTCAACAACCAGTCTAACTGTATTTACTCTTGTTTAATAAAAGCAAGGACAAGGCCAAAGAGGAGCCACGTGAAAGATTTTCATGAACCATACATAATTCTTCATAGCTTTTCCAGAACCAGGAAAAAATTTGATCGTACCATCGCAAGATATTCTGTGGTTTAGACGTTGTTGCACCTTTTGGAGTTGGTAGATATATGTTCACGTCAACTTTTAATTCGATCTTTTTTGAAAGATTTTAGGCATAATATCAAAATTAGCCCTTAACATTTATTAAAATGATTGTTTTAACTCTTTTTTTTAGTATTTTGACCTATAGCGTTTTATTTTATGGTAAAAGACCTCTAACATTTGAAAGAATAGTCACTTTCAGTAGCGAATTCATTGAGGGTTGAGGCGTGCCCACCCTAAAATCCAAATTTTGTTCGGTTAGGGGTTGTTTGTTTGGCTCTGAATGGAATCATTCATCGTTGAATGCTGAACCGTTCATCGTTGAATGTTGAACCGTTCAATATTCAGCGTGTTTGTTTCGCACCTCTGAATGATTCAGTGCTGACTGATTCAGCAAAACAGTGTTGAATGATTCAACACAGAAGTACATTCTGAATGATTCAGAGCCATTATCAAATAGCATTTCACATTCATAGCTAATTCATACAGAGCCTCTGAATCATTCAGCATTTGAATCATCCAGTGCTTAATCATTCTGAAGTAAACAAACAACCCCTTAGTTACTTATTTTACTGATGGTGCCACCCTGAAATTTTGTTTGTGCCCACTTTGAAACCCAAATTGTTTTCGATTAGTTACTTATTTTACTGATGGTGTTCATCCTGAAATTTTATTTGTGCCCAGCACATTCAAAAATTTTATGTTGTTAACATATATGTGCCCACCCTAAAAAATATTTCTAGATCCGCCATTGGTCACTTTGACTCATATTCTATTTTTAGAACATTTTTGACCCTCAACATTTTATTTTCGAGTAAAAAAATCTTATTTTAGAGCATTAATCGTGTGTTAACTAATATTTTCTAACTATAAAGGGGTAGTGGGGAATATATGCATTACCTAGGTCTGGTATGTACCCACCCTGAAATCCGAATTTCTTTATATTCGTTGTTCATTTTACTGAAGGTGCCCATGCTGGAAATTTATCTATGCTCACCCCATACGAAAAATTCTATTGTTAATACGTATGTGTAACATCCCAAACTATGAGTTAGTGACCGAATTGTAAAATTTCAGAATTTAGTGATTAAAATAAAAATATTTGAATAGTTCAAGAATTATTTGGAGATATTTGATGAAGGGTTGTTGGTAATTATTAAAGGAATTAGAGGGCAAAGGGGTCATTTGACTTGGAAAGGATAAGATAATAATATTTATGGGATAAGTTTGAGAGATTTCCAGAAACTCTCTTTTCTTCTTCTTCTTCTTCCTTCCTCCCGTGTCTCCATAGTAAAGGTAAGTTTTCTGATTAGTGGATTATTTGTGGATTTTTGGTATGTGTTTTGATCATTAGATAATAACTAAGCTTAAGGAAAGCTTAAGTTATCTTAAAATCAAAAGATAAAGGAGTTAGAGAAGATTAAAGATTTGAAGTTCTTGGGTGAAATCTTGAAATAGAGTTTATTATAAGAATTGAAAGTTGAATTTGACTTGCCATCAATAAGAGTAAGAGATTTATGAAGTTAGAAAGGATTAATAACAAAGTTGAAAATTTAGTAAGATTCTTAAGTTTTAAGAATCAAGATGAGATATGAAAGATAAAGATGGTTTATATGGACATAAGTTGTTTAAGTAATGGTAGTTGAGTTTAATGACATGATAGGGGTTTAAAAGAGAAGAATTGAGTGAATAATGGATGATTTTCGGGCTTAAAATATAATTTCTAGGCTATGTGCATCGATGCACATTCAATATGTACCGATGCATCAAAGATAAATCCAGAAATTGTTCAAGGTCCTTTAAAATAAAACATCGAATAAGATTTATGCACCGATGCATAGATAGTGCATCGATGCACCCGTATAGGGATGCATCGATACATAGGGTAGTGCATCGATGCATGCATTCATTAAAAGTTGAAAATAGCTTTCTTTTTATCCTAAGGAGCGATAGTTTAGAATATATCAATTAGTATACTGATATGTATCAATGTATTACTATGTAGAATTAGAACGTAATCTCGTTCTGGAACAATTGACGGATTAGAATCAAGTCAAAGCAAGGCTAAGGTGAGTACATATTATAAGTATGGTACAATGGAATAAGACTTGTGATAAGTCTAATTCCTATGTTGATTTTCATAGCATAATAGTTATGAACATGCATACATGATAATTATTATGATACATGCATAAAGTATATATGTTCATATGATTTGATAAATGATATATGTAAATAGATTCAAATGCACATGTTACATGGTAAGTGATATGAGTTATATGATCACAAGAGAAATGACATGTATACTTTCAAATACATATGTTACATGGTAAATGATATGAGTTATATGATCACAAGAGAAATGACATGAATACATGAATATATGAAAAATAAGATTAATGTCCATGGTATACGATATGAGAGCTATAGGTATAGTTGGCATGCTAAGAGTCGAGGGTTCTACGTGGTCCTTCGGGACATATATGTATCCTTTGGAACATTTATAGAATCTTTTGAGACAGATTTGATCCACTAGAATATGTATATGGTTCTTAAGGAGTGGTCATTCGGGACAAATACAGTACATAAGTCCTTCAGGACAAATTTCATAGCCCCTAGTGAGACCCATACGAGCTGTGGTGACAGCATAGTGCACAACCTCAATGTACTCGAATACCTTGAGTTCTCAAAAATGTACATGGGCCTATAAAAGGATATCAAAGGTAATTGCATTGTTATAGTATATGTTACCATATTATTATTGATTACATTGATTTGTATATGACATGATTGAATGGATAGATTGCATGTTCATATTTATACGGAATGCATTATTATTATATTTATATGTCTCACTAAGTCTATGACTTAGCGTGTAAGTGATTTACACGTAGGTACCAAGAATCAGGAAGAGTGGAAATAGGGTGGCAAGAACAGCAACACTACTAGAAGATCAGATCAGAAGTAACAGATAAAGTATATCTTTTGTTGTGTATAGTGTTGGCATGTAAGAAAAGTGTCTGTTACAAATGCCCTGATCAATTTTGTCTTGTTTTGGTTAACTTGTGTAAAATAACAATGTTATTTTAAATGTATTGTTATTTTAAATGAAATGTTAAATTTTCCTGGATTTTTTGTCAAGAGTTAAAGT